ACTGAGTTAATTATGCTGAGGCTGGGAAATAGATCACTCAGTCGCGAAGGATTACGTGTTAGGAATCTAGATCACTGGTAGGTGCAGAGGGCATATTTAATGTAACAGATTTCGTGTAGTTAATCTCTATAGAAAAATATTAATTCTTTGTGGTTCTGTTTACGTGCAGTGTCCGTAATCCTCTTCGCCCTTAACAGCTAAACGTCCTGAAACTAAAGTCCAAGCTGTAGCGCTCATCGAAGATAATGCTGCTGTGGAAGGGATCATAGTGGGGGAAAATGAGTTAGAAGGTTAGCTCCTGAACAAAGTCGTGTTCAGGAGCCTGACATGGGAGTTTCGAACATGGCAATAGTGTGAGGGGCTTTGCCCGGATTGGGACTGGTCACTAGGACCACTCCACCTCCAAGGTAAGGTAGTGGCAGAGCAACGCTCCTGGATAGACGAAAGGGGCGCTAAAAGGTTACGCACTAGATGGGGAGTTTGATACAGGAGAAGAGTTGTGCCGGAAGAAAGGACGATTCTCACTGAGCTAAAGGGGGGAGTTAATACAAGCGTACGCAGAAGACATAAAGAACAGGATACAATATGGTAGTTTAGCTTTCCCAAGGAAAAATTATTCATTTCCATTGCATTAACAACTTCAATTACTTCTGAAATCCTTCAACCTTTTACAAATAGGCTCAAATGAAATTGAAGATAAGAATGTAGAGTACATTATGAATTGGTCTTCTTTTATCATCGACACTTTAATGTAATTTATTCAGTACTTACCTTAATTGAGTGAGTGAGTTACCTTCATTGACAATGAATGCAAATGTCTAGCCACTGTCAGAAACTTCATAGTATGCAGAGCAAACCTTCCTCGGATAAAAATAAAACCACAAAAGCTTACTGAGGCAAAAAATAATCGGCACCAAGAAGACTATACAGTCAGACCCCTATTAAGACAATGTAATTGGGGTCGTAGAAAATATTGCCATATAGAGGATATTGTTTAAAAGGATATCATTATCTAATCCAGCTATCTAGGCTACTTTGTACTTTTGATGCCTCTTTTATACTCCCATTTGCCGTCTTTAATCACTTTTATCGCTTTAATCACTCTAATACTCTCAAGGGCAGGCCAGTTTCCAGCTCGCTGTTGAAGCGCAGTAGTACTTGGAGCTTCGTCGATTTTCGTAAAGCTCTTGCTCAAGGACTCGGAGACTTTGGACTGTCTTAATTGATGGCCGTACTCAGCTAAGAAACAGTCAATGTACAGTTTTTGTGTTGGTTTTGGGACCTGGCGGTGCACCCATTGTCTCAGAGCACGCTGCTGCTCCACAGAAATTCCCTTTTTTGGCGGCATTGTTAACACCAATCTAGCAAAAAACCCTGGTTAAGACAATATTAAGAGGTTGAAGAATGATGATTGTGTAATTGGTAAATGTATGGGAACAAAGTCCGTTCTGGAAAAAATATTGTATAAATGGCAATATTGTCTAAGCCATGATTATCTTAACAGGGTTCCGACTGTAATGCGGAAATGGTTGATGTTGAAATTGGCGCTACTTGGCAATGAAGAGTCGCATTAATACGGAACGTAATAGGGTTCTATTATTACTAGCCACATTCATGACAACTCATACATTGACCAGCCTCCCAATCATTTAGCATAAACAAGTGAATTGTGTCCTTCACTTAGATGTAGTAATTAGTTTAAATAGCGCTCTGATACTAAGTGGGTTTAGTTAACAATTCTCCACTATAGTTTTCAGACTCTTCCATCTCCCAACTCGCTTCACTAGGTGATATTGAATACAAGCATAACAGCTTACGCTTCTCTATACAACTTCCATTAAAACAATTAAGATGGATCTGGACGTCGACAGATACGAGCGCATGCTATATGCATGTATAATACCAAGGTTATCTCATGACCTGATACTCGGGAAACCATGGATAGAGCGGGAAGATGTTTATAACGCAAAGGTTCATTTTATGGATATTGGGGAGGCTGTAGTACACAATCGACCATTGAGGGTATGGGAAGAAGGGCAACAGAAAGCAACAATTGCAACTCTACTAACAGCAAATATCAAGAGTTTGTCGGCAGGGGTATTTCTTGCAACGGTAAGGAAAGCCAGGAAGGCAAGCCCCAGTAAAACTTGGCTTTTTTCCATAATGCTGGCAGACTGTAAAAGGTTTAAAGAAGTCAAAAGTACTTGAAGCCGACAACTCAATGGAATGAATAATTTTTCCTTGGGAAAGCTAAACTACCATATTGTATCCTGTTCTTTATGTCTTCTGCGTACGCTAGTATTAACTCCCCCCTTTAGCTCAGTGAGAATCGTCCTTTCTCCCGGCACAACTCTTCTCCTGTATTGTACTACCCCCTCTGGTACGTACCCCCTTTTATACCCCCTTTTATACCCCCTTTTATACCCCCTTTTATACCCCCTTTTATACACCCTTAGCGCCCCCTTTCGTCTATCCAGGAGCGTTGCTCTGCCACTACCTTACCTTGGAGGTGGAGTGGTCCTAGTGACCAGTCCAAATACGGGCAAAGACCGTCACACAGACATTCAGAAAGCACGCACTTCACCAAAAACTCACCGACAAATTTGGAGAGGCTTCCTGATTGTTATCATGATTTTGCAAATCTATTCTGCAAGGAATTAACAGATGAGCTTCCACCTCGTAGGCAAGGATATGATCACGAGATTAGGATCGAGCCTGACAAAAAAATACCATGGTGTTACGGTTTGACCATAGTTTAGCTTAGGTGAAGACCAAAGCGGAGTTTGGGGGCGTTTTGAGAGAGAGTTCCATGTTATCTGGTATCAAGCAACTAAGTTTCATTTGGCCAGATTACATTGGAGCTAGGAAGGAATGTGAGACAGCAGAGTAGAATTGCCAGTATTAAGATTTCTATCTTGATGTCGACCCGTACATACATACCATATAATAGTAACTCATATTGATACTCAGGATTGCAATTGATAGCAGAGATTGATGGTGTCTATGGCACTGCAGGGTTTGGTAATCAGTGATAGGGATATGACACGTGTATCTATTTACCACGCATTTGACTCCTCTTTAATATGATGATGCTTCTGACTACTTTCACAATGCCCATACATACTCTGGGCTAATCACCCTTACTATATTGGTCCTATCTTCTAATCAATGCCCTTTTCGCCTTTTTATCCTAAGGGACAGGTCATGCTATTTGTTGTGATATACAATATGGATGGGCGTGTGTAAGCAATGAGACATTACGTGAACTAAACCAAGTGTGGCTAGCAAGGCACGGCGAGGGATTAGCCGAGGCTCGTGCGTATGGTCTTAGGAACACTTCTTTTGTAGAGACAGATCAGGCTGCTTTATCCCTTTTACATACACATAGATGTACATATAGATTCTAATTAATTTAATCTCCACACCTTGCTCTACCCTCAGCCCCGCAGACTATTAAGCTCCAAACTCCAAGACGTCGTACATAACCTCATAACCATAACACTATTCTTCGTCTTCCTGGCCATCATCAAGCTCCGAGTTATGGACAGATTGAATCTTTAACAATTATCTTGGGAATGGGTGTAATACATCACAGGAGTGAAGACCCTCGGTAACTAGCTGTTAAGAACTGGGTGCTACGCTACACGCTTTGATGGAATTAGAAAGTAGCCTTGAACTCCTAGTTGAAGTAGCAGGGACAAAGTTATCGGGGCAGTAAGCAGTAGCGATCATGCATCTCGTTACTTTGGTGGATAGTAGGGACCTAAGTCAAGACTCGGCGACCCTGAGGTTCCTGATGGATTAGTATGTATGAAAAGTGAGATAAGCTTAGCATTAAGATGGCGTAGGTTACGGATGTCTCGTGGCTCCAAACTACTAATAAGTATGGTAGAGCTTAAGACTAGATGTAACTTGGTTTTCTATTAATACAGGGTATTGTCTATTCAAGTACAGTATTCCTTATCTTGCGCCCGGACTCCAACGTGAACAATATTACATAAGCATTACAATTTATGAGAGCCTCGTACTTATCTAGAAGTCTATCAATCTTGGATCCTCAACCCGACGGACGATAAATGAGTAGAAACAAACAGAATGGCAGTAAGCTTAGCTCCCCAAGTCACAGGATGTGAATCCCAGTGCACCCTGGTATTTTGGGTCAGTGGAAGAAATATTTGCGCTTAATAGCCGGGCGCGAGCTACATCACACTTTAGGAGATTGTTACCACTGGCCAGATAGGAAGAGCAGCACAGAGTAATAGACGAGAGAGTTTCGCGGGATTAACTGATGATGGTAGACACCAGAGCAAGTCCAATAATTAAGTCAGTAAATTATTCTAATCTACGGAAGAAACCAGAATTGTTACTCCTCTCTGTACTAATTGCATCTCTTTTAATATCATGTTTCTGGGGAACACGGCATTGATTACGAGCCTCACACAACCAGCCCAGCGACAACTAACTTAGTATGGCATATATTGCATGACTCAGCATTGGCACCACCAGTACCATCCTCACGTATCTCTCCCGTAACGGAAGGGCTGGGCTCATATTGCTGGTTCTTACATTTTTTTATATCTACGATCCTTTCACAGCACCAGTGGTCATGAAGTTTGCCAAAAGACCAACATTGGAAAATTTCTCATTCAGAATAAGCGGTGTGCCGTGGCCCAGCTAAGTTTTAAAAATTGGTTTGTAACCTACTCTAATGTCTTGGGGTCTAATTGATAACTTTCCCCTATCCCTCTCACATTCTTCAATTTCCCGATTAGCATGACTAGGAGGCATTGATCAGTAGCCTAATCGTTTAATCATTCATGCCAAGTTCAGCCTGGAACGAAGGTTGGTAATGTTACGGCTTACAATTGGTTTTGGCGCCGAGATATGGTGTAGTTTTCACGTAGACTAGTCACACCGGTACGTGAAGATCTGAAGAGCTATGTGTTGGCATGAGGTAAATTGGTCTCAACAATGAAAATTAGCTCGTTCAGTTTTGTTCACTAATTAACATTGTCAGTCATGACAATCTTTGCCAGGAGTTTGTATAGGGAGATAATTACTACTTCGAGTTGACAGGGGCTCAAATATTGTTGTTGATACTCATTAGTCGCGAGATAGGCCACTCCCGCAATATGCCCGGCTCTTGTGAATATGACAAAATCGACATCGTCATCTAGTATTAAATTTAGCTGTCAGAGAACTCGAAAGGTAGGCAATTTTCAGGGATTCTTCCATTACCGTCGATAGGATAATACCATTTAACTCCGTCGATGCTGTAATTAAGGGTACTTAGTCGCAAGGGGTATCCATTGTTCGAACATCTATAGTCTAAAGCTTGTTTTCCTATCTGGGCTCTTTGCTCGATAACATTCTTGTGGTGCCTCCGACTATTTTGGCACAAGTAGCTGAATGCTTGACTATGGTGGGGCACTGGAATGAGCTCCGGACTTGAATTAATCGCCATCGAATTTACAGGCGCTAAAATGCTAAAAAGCATTGTGACTCCGCTGATGCTGAGGAGCTTCATTATCAAGTAGTGAATCTGTGTATTTATTTGGAATTTCACTTCTTCAATTACTATCGTGACAAGACTGGTAGAAATAAAGGTAAGATTCAAAATTGATCTATCAAGATACTAAAAATACGGATACTCTTCATGCTTTATAAATCAAGGTGCTGCTTGGCAATATCAATCATGAAAGTCTGAGTTGTGGCGATTATGAGGCATTAGTTGTGTTCATTTAACCATGGACATTGGGAATTACTTCATCTATCCAAGAACTTAAATTGCAAATTTCCACTTATCTTCTACAGCCAGGTCTCCACGTGGAAAAGTGCTTCAATACTGTGCATTGTGATTTGAGAGAATGAGATTGTTTTGTGTAATATGGTCCGAGGAAAGACAAAGATGATTCAGAACCAGTCCGCCCTGTAGCCCATTGACCACTAATCCATTTGCACCATCTGACAAGGTTGAGTGGTGATCATAATTCTGGAATTCATGAGGAAGGCCCGTTTCCAATGGGAAAGATGGCTGAAATGTCCAAAGAAAGAATGGGTTGTGGATAATAGCTGCCCATGACCTAGTCAATCCACTTTGTGACTTTTGAAGGAGAAACCTCGACAGCCGCGATGTCCACAATTGTTTGAATCCTCTTGGCCTGAGCAGGAATCGACCGCGGAAGCTTGAAGAGTTCGCATACAAAAATTACCAGCCTACAGAATCGACTACTACCTCCTTCTAACTGGCCAAAAAAGGTCCCTGTTACTGCAAAATGCAATTCCGTGGCATCTTCACAGTAACAAAAGCTTCCTTGCGACGAAATGGAATAAGGGCTAGCCATAGGATTTATGGTTGGATTAGATCCATCAAGAAGTTACTAGATGAGGTACTTTTCCCAAACATTGGTATCAGATACGCAGAGAAAAGCGTGCCATTGTCCCAGGTAAAGACTTGAAATAAAATGACTGGAAATTCTCGTGCTGAAAGAAACCAAGAGATTCATCGAGACCAATCTCCGCCTGTGATTAGCTCTCTAACCTGTCCAAACGATGCCCATCATCACACCAAAGCCTAATAACTTGCACGGTTTCCAGTAGTGTTTACAATTAGGGTGATTCAAGTTGCATTTCGTAAATTTCACGCATTCAAGTGGCATAATTATCGCAGAATGGAGTAGGCACTATTTCCTCGGAGACCGAGAAGTTGACAAAAATGTCGCACTCACATTGCTAATGAAGGAGTTATCCTCGCAAAATACTCTCAAACAAGGTTGTTGGAAATTCTGACTCTCGAATTTAGCATTCAACTATTATCTCTTTCGTCTCAGGTTCCCGACAAGATAGACTCTCTCTACACATGTCCCGAGTGCGCTAATCGGGTCTACTGTTGCATATACGTTTGGATATTTACGCACTATAGTGTACCTTGGCTCATCATGGTAGATGAGAGGTGGCTGGTCATCACTGGGTTTGACAGGTACATGAGACTAAGTGGGAATTTCTCCCCCAAGATGTCTAAGTCCAATGTTCTCATGGTTGTAAAATATCAAGTCTTCTTTACTTCATCATATACATCCATATAATATCGTACAGAGTATATTTTCCAACAAAGGTATCATAGTGGCCCGACCTACATTTCAAGATAGTCTAAACTTTGCAGATACGGCAAGGATCTGGCGAAATGTTCGAGTGGGTAGATATGGATAACTATTCTTTATTTTCATTTATGTGGCTCGTTACCACTGGAATCTTGATTGCCTCTTGGTTGAATTCCAATTTAAATTGTGCTGGGTAAATGAAATGTACTGAAGGAAGCTGGATCTGCCGAAAATTGGAACCGAGCTCCGCTACAGGTCCAGTGACTTTGTTTGATTACTATTTTCTACAGCTATTCTTACATTTTCTCATCTCGTCTTTCCATGTCATTTAATTTGTGTCTAGTTTTTGAACAGTAAAAGATGAAAGGTTCCTCGCATATTTATGGAATGACTGATGACCCGAAAGACAGTGATTGTGACCGCCGCGCATATCAAGATAAGGTAGCCGTCGGCCAAAGGTCTCCTTAAAATGACTACGATTTCAAGTAACAGGCAGTAGTACTTGGAAAATAACAGATTTGCAATGTGCGAGGAGTTTGAGTCAATAAGACCAACAGCGAAGATGCGACACAGAGGGCTTACCCATAACGTTTGTCTATGGTGTCCAATTTGTACATGGCGCCGAAGCCCACGAATCATTCACCTTTCAGCCGTACCAGTGTAAGCGCTCAGTATGCTCCACATATCTAGAATAGCTAACAAGATTCGCATCCGAGTCTAAGTCAAAAGTAAATACCAACGTATTGAAATAGATGCTATATATCACGTCACCACATGTATTCTATGTGACAAAGCACCTCGATAAAACCTCATGATTCGTCACCATATGTAAAGGTTTAAAGAATTCAGAAGTACTTGAAGTCGATAACGCATTGGAATGAATTATTTTACCTTGGGAAAGCTAAACTACCATATTGTATCCTATCCTTTATGTCTTCTGTGTACGCTAGTATTAACTACCCCCTTTGGCCACTTGAGAAATAATCCTTTCTTCCGGCACAACTCTTCTCCTGTATCAAACTCCCCATCTAGTGCGTAACCTTTTAGCGCCCCTTTCGTCTATCCAGGAGCGTTGCCCTGCCACTACATTACCTTGGAGGTGGAGTGGTCCTACTGACCAGTCCCAATCCGGGCAAAGCCCGTCACAAAAAGTCGAACAAAAACTCATCACCACCAAGATACAATTCACGAATGGGCTTAGGTCCGTCTGAGGGTCGTAATCAACACCCGACATCTCTCAAACTCCTCATATATTTGCGACAAAGCGTTTCTCAGTCGATCCTATACCTGCGACCCACCTCCATACTCGTCCGATCACCTATCTACACATGACCCAATGAGGAAAGTCATGATGGTGTGACGGGCTTTGCCCGGATTGGGACTGGTAACTAGGACAACTCCGTCTCCGAGGTAATGTAGTGGCAGGGCAACGCTCCTGGATAGACGAAAGGGGCGCTAAAAGGTTACGCACTAGATGGGGAGTTTGATACAGGAGAAGAGTTGTGCCGGAAGAAAGGATTATTTCTCAAGTGGCCAAAGGGGGTAGTTAATACTAGCGTACACAGAAGACATAAAGGATAGGATACAATATGGTAGTTTAGCTTTCCCAAGGTAAAATAATTCATTCCAATGAGTTATCGACTTCAAGTACTTCTGAATTCTTTAAACCTTTTACATCTGCTAGTGTAATTCAGAACTACTGGTAAAAAAAAAGGGAAGTTCCTGGTAGAGGGAAATTTGCCACATTTAAATTGGAAAGCAGAGTGACAGACAGCTGTTTAATTTTTTTTATTATTATTATTTTTGGTCCTAAGCTAAAGCTATCTTTTCCACATTGGGTCAAGGACCGGCGGATCCGGCAGGGCTTCCTGTAATCTTTCCTACAGCCTAACTCATTCCAACCTCGTGAATTGCTACCAAAAGTGCAGCTGATTAAACTGAAACGAAAAATCTAGAAAATCAAAACAGCTCCGAAAACCAGAAGATTCCTCCATATTCGACCCAAGCAATATGCTCCTCACACATTCCCTCATCCGTCACACCTTCGGAATGACGAATTTGCCCATTCTCCGCTGAGAGCAAGAGATGGGTTAGCAGGCACCTTTGATTCAGGCGGTATCCTGCTATTAGTTAGTAGATGCCCCGAAAGGGGACATCGTCGAGGTTGCTGTGTCCTCAAACTTCTTCTTCAGCTTCCAGGGCTCCGAAGCCTGTTGCCTCGGCCATCGAGACATTCTTCGCTGCGGCGACGATCGCCTCTTCGGCCCTTTTGGCTGCTACTCGAGCTCGTGCCACCTTTGAGAATTCCCCTTTGCTCGAGGTGACGAATCTACGCGAGCTGCTCTTTGGTCACCGGTCCAGATTTTCTGGGTCTGACCTTGCAGTCCCGAGAATCCGATCGGTGGGGTCCCCCACAGTTGCGACGCTTTGTGAGGGCCTTGCACTCGGCTTCCGAGTGCATATTATTGTAATTTGTTTGCTAGACCTGGCGGTATAGCTTACCCCAGCTAGAGAGTGTATTCTAGAATGCAGTGGTGGCTCGTTACAGATGCGATTGCGACAATACTATTGAGGGTTGTATGAAAGTTTGGCACTTCTATGGGTCTCAATTGTGTGGAGGTTGATTCAATTAGTTGATTATTATTGCTAATTCTGTCTATCTACAGAGAATGTGCTACAGTTCTACATGTGCCCGTAATCGCTTAGATTTGGCTAGTGGGCTGTCCGCTCTTTTACTTCGCTCCCGTGTTCCATCACGTGAGATGTAATAACTGCTCACCACAAAGTCCGCAGATTGAACAGGCGGAAGCCCGCACGAGGGGCGTCGTCTCGGGGAAAAAGGGCATGTCAGTTTCGATATGGTGCCCCAGGTCGACACGTCCCATGAGGTCGGACCTGGATTGGTATTGCGCCGATCGTACCGAGAATCTTGGTAGAGACCCAGCTAGCATCGACCACCCTGGTGCCGCACACCGTAACTATCCTTACAGGTACGTTCGGTATCTGTAAGGCGACAAGATTCGAAGATGCCTCGAGTTTGACGTTTTCATTCGCCAGCTTCGAAGAGCCATCTAGCAACTCTTGTCGTATTTTGTCGTTCTTTGCTATCATAGCAAAGCCAGTTCTCCCTCGATGGAGTGAGGTTAATTCTTGGTTAAAGTAGCCGAATGTATACTCCAACGTAGTTCTCACAATACTGGTGGACAGTTTTCGCCATGGGTGGTCCTTTTCAAGGCGAAGGAACAGTCGCTTATCGACTTTCGCCTTTGGGGTTTCTTTCCTTGGGGCTTTTGCCGCAGGTCGCGGAAAAGCCTTTGCTATAGGAGCTGCATTTTGTCGCAGTCCATTTTTTGGCCACCGTGACCCAGGTGCTTTTAAGGGGCAGCGCTGGGACGGCAGGAATTTGTATGCTCCTGGCGTCGGGAGCCCTTGGCAGAGGGTTCGCCGGGCGAGGAGGGAGGACTGGTGGAGTGGAGTCCGGGCCTGTAGCCATACATTGCGCGATGGCGGCGGAGCAGAGGGC